ATCACACTAAAGGAGAGCAATAGGACCAAAAACTTCCAGTGGCCCAATCAGCCATCCTGTAGCTGCAAACTAGAGCCTGCCCTACAGATCAGACTGAGACAGAAATAAAAACTGTCCTTTCCCAGCTAAGGACTTTCATCTGTACCAAAAGGTGCTATAAAACTCTCAGGCCTGCACTTTATTGATCTCTAATTTGCTTTGAACAAATCACATCTAAGCTAAAGATATATTCCTCCTTTGAACTTCCTCCCTATCAAATGTCTGCAATGAGAGACTTTTAAGGGTGCCATGTTGATTTTTGAGGCCACATATGGATTGTGTGTGTATGAGAGAGAAAAAAAGGGTTTTTGACAGTCTTCTAGCAATTGCTGCAAAATGCAGCAATCAAGTTCACAGCTGAAATAGGTAAGCAATTTAAGGAACTACAGAGGAACCCTTAAAGCTATGATAATATGCAGAGAACCTCTGGGAAATAAGCATGAATACAATTGTAAAGTACAACTGAAATTCTAACTCAAATTACATTGGAATGTAATTTATTCACACAATATTACATTTTTCCCCAGTCTTACCCAAGATCTCCTGAACTTTACTTTTGTGCTTCTTTCTTAGTCTCTAATAGCTTCTTTATCAAGAAATGACTAGCTCTAAATATTGCTGTGTTTTTGTTTTGTTTTGTTTTGTTTTCTTCCTATGTAACATTTCTAAGACATATCTTCCTTCCTCCATTTTAATATAGAAACCTTATTCAGGCCTTCAATATGCTGTAGTACCCATTAAAAGGCTTTAGAAATTGAAATGGTACATCATTAGTATGATTCAGGTATGATTCAGGAATCACTTTCCACTCGTACTGTGTTGACTGAATCACATGTTTGCCACCATTACTTGCTCCTCAGTTTGCACTGTATGTCTTCAAAGTAACAGCAAATCTTTTGCAAGTTGGTCTTCACCTCCCTATATGATCAGTTGTTCCTCAAGAGCATGGTAGTGTCCTCTTTTACCCTGTTCATAGCAAAGGATTTCATTATTCTCCACCTTTGCTGGAGACAGCAAATGAGAAAGCTCCACGGCAACACTGACAGAGGGAAGGAGGACAGCTTTCAGATGTGTCTTTCTGACATAAGATTATACATTTTTTTAAAAGGAACCAGAAAAATGGTAAGGAGGACTTGTTCACCCACTCACTTTATCAGCTATAAATTCCAGTTACTCAAACACCTCATGCCACTACATACATACACAAACACAGAACCTCTCAGAGCAACAGGGCATTTCACACTTCTGGGGTAACTAATGGAATGATTAGAATTAATATAATAGAATATATATAGATAATAGACTAAGTATATATATATATACACATACATACATATATACATACATATATATATATATATATGTATGTATATATATGCATATATAGATAATACACTAAGTACCTTTCACTACTAAAGTTGCCATGGAATATATTATTATGCTCATAGGCTCTTGACCAAAACTCTCCACTTAGGTTTTACCAAAAGGTGTTCCCTACTGTAGGGAGAATTCCTTTATTATTATGAAGCCCAAATATATTTTTCCATCCCAGTTTTTGAGGCTTTTTCATCTTCCATCTTATTGACCTCAAACCCCTACATGCTTGAAAAGAAGAGGCTCCTCTTTAAATTGGTGCCACAAAGCACAGGTGCTAATTGGCAGCTTCTGTGCTCTGCAGAAACCTCAGTGCTGTGACGCACAGTCCTTTAGCCACCTACTCACCTGTAAATCTGCAATGGAGAAGATGAGGGCAGTAGGTCAACTAGTACAGGTAGCAATGCCAATACCTTGAGTAGCAATAATAATCTTTCTGTGCTGAGTTTTTGCTTTAATGATTGAAAGTCAGTAGGGAGGATGGGCATGAGGAGCTCAGGGGCTAAAAGACTTCCAAAACTATTCTACAAATGTTTGTAAATCATATGGCTGTGAAGGAAGTCTGTCTGCTATACAGCCTGCAAATAATTGCCTTCTCCAGAACATGGAACAGAGACTGGAGCATTTTCCAAGGTGACTGCTGAAAACAGTCACCTTGTGTAAACATGGACAGATCTCTCACATGTCCGGCAAATGTTTTATGCAGGAAAACACTGTTTGAAAGGGGAAAAAGGCAGGATGTCATCAGTATCACCCATCTTCATCAATATTTAGAAAAGAATGATACTTCCATGCATACAGATGTGTTTTAAAAAGTAACAGTGGTGAGTTCTAGAGAGTTTCAAGTTGCAAACCCTGATCTTTAATTTCAAAGGGAAAAAACCCTTAAACAAATAATGTAAAAATCCCCATCAGATATGTCCTGAAAACTCAGCTTCTGAGCTTGCTGACATGATTTTCTAAAGACATTCCCAGGACAGTAACTGTAAACATAGATATGTGTACATTCTTTCTGTTACACGTCTTGTGATGGACATCTCTCATGGCCAGTGCAGTGAGAAAGTGTTATTCTGACCACCCAATCCCTGGCCATGGTCAGAAACCTATAAATCCTGGGAGGAAAAATAAATTTTCCCTTCTTTTCACCACACCTTGACCTGTGTCCATGTGACCTACTCATCTTCAGCAGCAACAAGATATGTCCTCCTTTTTGAAGAAGTTCATACCAGCCAGCCTGTGTGGTGCCTCCTGAGCATGACTGCTTTGAACAAGTGCTTTTTGAGTCTCTTACTTTTTCCTTACTAGCCTAACTCAAAGCTCAGATTTGTGATAGTCATGCAGTAGAAGAATCTCATAGATGACAGCTCTTGCCCTTAGCTACAGTGGTATTATCAGGCAACTGCTCTAATGGTTTGTATGCTGATAATTAAGTCAAGATTATGATCTCAAATGACCAAGCGAAATGACAAAAAGCCACTTGGAATAGTGGCACAGGTGGAGAGGAAGAGTTATTATTTTCTCTTTTCACCTACATATTGCACTGATAGGCCAAAAACACAATCTGGTTTGGCACCAGCATTTTCTTTGCACTTGTTTTTGAAATCTCCATGCTGACAACTCTTCTCAGCTATTTGCCCTACAGTGCACATGTGTATCCTCCGTGCATTTATATTTCCCACAATACGGTGCCACACCTCCTGTGAAGCCAGCTCAGCAGCAAGCATCACTGAGTCTCAGCACGCTGCTGGCTGAGCTCCCTCCTCTATCCAGCACATTTCCACAGCACATGGAGAAACTTCAGGCTCCTGAAGCAACACAGACAACCCTTCACGGATGAAATTCTTCTTCTATGCGGAGGACATGTAAACAAATACTGAAATATTTTTTGCAACAAAGTTTGAGTAATTGGCACATGCGCATCATCATCCTCAAACTGGGCTGAACCTAATTTCAAGCGAACACTGAAAACGCCGGCTGGTACTCGCTCATTCGCAATGCCCAGTTCCACGGGCACTCAACACTGTCCCACCTCACCACCCCTCTTGTCCTGCCTGCCTCGGGCCGCCAGTGCAGGGCTGTGCCGGGCTGTGCCCGACTGTGCCGGGCTGTGCCGGGATTTGCCGCTCTGTGCCGGTCTGTGCCGGGCTGTGCCCGACTGTGCCGGGCTGTGTCGGTCTGTGCCGGGCTGTGCCCGACTGTGCCGGGCTGTGTCGGTCTGTGCCGGGCTGTGCCGGGCTGTGCCGGGCTGTGCCCGACTGTGCCGGGCTGTGCCGGGATTTGCCGCTCTGTGCCGTGCTGTGCCGGGCTGTGCCGCGCTGTGCCGGGCTGTGCCGCGCTGTGCCGGGCTGTGCCGGGCTATGCTGGGCTGTGCCGGGCGCACCCCCGGAGGCGGCAGCAGCCCCGACAGCCCTGGGCGGAGGCGGCGCCGGGGGGCTCGGATGCCGCAGCCCCTCCAGCCCTCCCGAGCCTCCCGGGGGCCGCACGGCTGTGGGTAGAAGAATTTTAAGGGCTGGAGGCAGCCAGGTCACGCCCTGGTGTCCCCTTTTTCCTTCTTTTTTTTTTTTTTTTTTTCCTAAGGAGTGGGCGTGAGGGACTTAACGCCAAGCGAGCCGCGAAGCAGCGGCAGCAGCATCTGGGGAGCCGCGTGCGTGAGGCAGAGGAGGCAGACGCGATTACTTCAGAATTTATTTAAGGATTGGTGAAAACCACTGCAGCGGCTCCAGGGGAAGTCCCCGCGCCGGGGAGAGCGCCCAGCCCGGCAGCGCCGCGCCGCTCCCTCCGCCTCCACCCCCGCCCCGGCCAGGCTCCGAGCCGGGCACAGGGCTCCGCCGCGCCCGCCCTTCCCCAGTGTGTCTTATTAATTACACGCCCGGACTATTGAGATTATGGCAGGTTTTATCCCTGCTTTCTCACGGCCGGATTACTGCAGATGATACGTTTTATTACGCTCTACGGTTAGAAGAGATGCCGTGGCGTTTGCCTGAGCTCCTTAAAGGACAGGACGCGTTAGCGTAGCGCTGTGGTGCTGCTCTCGCTGCCGGTGTCCCCGGGCGATGCGGGGCTGGCAGCGGTGCCCGGGGCGCGGCCACCACGTGCCGTGGGTGAGAGCCGGCCGGGGCTCTCCCGGCCCCGCTCCCGGCCCCGCTCCCGGCTCCGGCTCCGGTCGGGCTCTGCACGGCGCCAGCCAGGCAGCGGTGTGCCAGGCACGCAGTGGTGTGCCAGGCAGGCAGCGACGGGCCGTGGGCAGAGGATTTCTCTCTGTAAAGCAGAAAACCGCGTCTGCTTTTTGATCGTGCAGGCAGTCGTGCGAGCGTGTGGACTTCAGTCACGCACAGAGGCATAATTGGCCTGGGAGGTATCGAAGAACCAGGGAAGCCAGATACGGCTTAGTTAAGTTTAGCAAAAGATAAGAAATCAAAGAAAGATGCTTTCGCCCTGCCCCCTCCCCCTGTGATCGTTTGCCTCCAGCTGCAAAGATGCTGTTGCTCGAAAGGGGATGCTGGAGCTTTAAGAGCCGCTCCCCCCCCTCCTGCTCCCGACAATGGTCTGAACCGAGCTCTGCTTCCCAAAGCAAAATTTGTAATATGCCATTTTTCCCATGGATGCTTCTCCTCTTGGCTGCTGACGAAGTGACCGAAGAAAATGTTGAGGTGCCAAGCAGCGAGACTTGCCGGAGGACGGGTGCGGGGGCTCGGGGTTCCTCGGAGCAACGCCTGTGTCACCATTGCTAGGAAGATGGTCCAGGAGTGCTCGGCTGTGTGAGTCCCCGCTCGAAGCCGGTGGAGACTGCGGTTGTTATTGATCAAGTGAAATAGCAGACGCCGAAATAAAAGATACTAGGTACTGAACCTTCTATTTCTGAGTTAGACATTTCTTCCTTAGACTCGATATCCTCGGGGGATGAGGTGCAAATGCAAAATCTAGCTGTCTGCCTCTTGCTGTAGTACTTGTGTGGTATTTAAATGCATTTCTATAATGGGAGTTGGGGGATTTCAGACTAAAAAATGTGAAACCAACCTCATTTTTTTTGGTTGTGGTTAAGGGAGGTAGGAGGTCAGAGGCATGGCATAAAAAACAGATGGTTGGAACGAGTCCTTTTTTCTAAGGTACTGTGTTGACCACCCCTCCTGTGTGGAAGGAGTGCAGGATGCTTCTGTTAAAGGTGATATCATAGTTTAGTGGAGACTGGCAGGTAAGGAGTTAACTAGGAGGAGGAATATGCATGTAATGCAACTCAGACAATAGGAAGGGTTTTCCTTATTGGAATTACACTGTGCTGCCTAAGAGTGATCTTGCTGAGGATGTCTGAAGAGACATAATTGCAGTAAGAGCTGGTTTTATCAGTCACTATATCTATTTAACGATTTGGAAAAAATAGCTTGTAAATGCAAAATACTCTGAAGGATCCAATGAAATGAGTTTTCAAGCTGATGTCACTGTGGACAGGCTAGAATGTATGATAGGTAGATTGCTACTTCTTTTTCCTGCAGCAAAATTACAAGTAAGTTGAAATGACTCCTCAACTGTGGTGTGCAAATCAAGCATCAGAGTAAACAGAGAACAAGCTTTTAAAGCCAGTTATTGATAGAAAGGTGAGGGATTAAAATTAGATTTACATCTAAGGTGGTGGCCTTCAAGGTGAGCAAAATGAATGCTTGTCTAAAAGCCTTTGTCAGGCAGAAGCCAAGTAGCTTTGTGTCTTCTTATTCCCAGAGCTTCTCAAGTGAAAGAACTCCATCTGGTAAATTATTTCCAGGCTAAATGAGATTGCAGAGGTGTTTGTTACAATATTCACTTAAATAAATAATTCCAAGACTCTTGGACAATTGAGGTAACAGAAGATGCCAAATAGGGTGGGGTTCAGTGAGAAGAAGGAAGACAACTTTTTCATTTTCAACCTCTATAGGATACAGAAATTTCATGTAGTTTTAGAGTCAGTGTTGAGGACATACTTTGGTACCTGGTCCATATATGATCATAATCAGAGAGAGGTTAATATAAGAGAGTTGCTATCAATTAATTTATTAGTGGAGTCCCTCCTGAAAAGAAGCTTTATATAACCTTAACCAAGGATGGCCATATCCTCTACTCTGTGATGGAATTTTAGTCCATTCCCTTTATCTGGATGTTTAAACTGAGCTGCAGAATGCCTAATTGAGCTAATACGGAGTTCACTCTTGATGGAGACATAATGCAGCTAATGCTATAGATTTGCTGTGACATTTTTGCATACAGCCTGAAAAATCTTAATGTAATGACAGTGAACCACATCTCTCCCCCTCTAGTAGGACTGACTGCTTTCAGCAGTCGTTTTTTTGCCAGCTGAGTGTTGTGTGTTTAGAGGGGAAACCTGTCCATGGTTTCTGGCAATATAGTAAGTAATGGTCACATAACATCCAGCATGCTCCCTGGTATCACATAACAGGCATTTGTGATCTTTATGCCTTTGTTTGAAGGGAGTTAAAAGGAGATTCATGGCTTGTCTACGTTAGTGACTTTTCCAATCACTGTACTGATCCAAACCCACTGAAGTCCATGACAGAATTTCCATGAATACAAGCATTTGCTGGATTAGATTCCATGCAAATGGAATGGAGAAAACATTGAATTAGGAACCAATCAACCTGGAAAAAGCTTTGTAATATGTGGTGCAGTAGATACACGATGGACAAGAAAGATAATGTGTTCAGAGAACTTCAGTGTACTGCTTCTTAAGCTGCCATTGCATATGGCTGTGATGCCTGACACTCAGGTCGAGAGCTACTACTAAAATAAGAGTCTAGGTTTTATTTTGAATTAGAAGAGCTATAAAGTTATTACATTACCTAAAAGTCTATTTCTAGGGGGTGTTTATGGATTAAAAGGGAAGCAGGAATTTGTCAGTGTCCTTCTCCCCCTTTAGAACCTCTCTGGGTGTTTGGGACAGTTGCAGGTGCTACAGAAGTTGACTATATGTTACAGTCCTTGCAAGTCTTGGATGCTGTGGAGGCACCCTGACCATGGGAGTTGTAATGTCTGCTCTATGGCTCAGGATGGATCAAAGGAACAGTGATTCTCTATTAAAAGTAAAATGCTGGTGACTTAACACATCTTTCATTGAGGGATTGCTTTACTTACATTCAGGATACTGGGTAAAGCAATAAACTTTGTACTGTAGTAGTACTAAGTTCCGTATCAATGGAGCTTTTATTTTTCTGTTTAAAGAAAGAGAAACACATTTGAAAAGTCTTACTTTTGTTGGCTTAGATCAGTCAAGCATAACTTAAATTATATTACTACAGGGCAAGTCAGCCTTTTTCTGGCAAAGAACACAAGCTTTCCTTCTCTTCCTTTGAATGAAGAGGTATACAGGGCACATTCAGCTATTAATGCCACCTCTTTAAGTTGAAGAATATACCACCTTGTTTATCCCTTTCTCTCCTCTTCTTTGCATGGCTGCATGGGAGGTGTTGCACAGGATGATGTACAGGAGAGCTTATTCAGTTATCATGGACTTAAGTGGTCTTGAAAATATGGAAATCATGGGACAGAGGTGTTAAATCCATTACTTGCACCCACTGGAAAGGAATTCCAGCTTCCTCAGTGTTTATTCTTCACCACCTGTGTTCCACTCAGCATGCCTTCAGGTCGGAGTAGATGATCTTCAGAGGTTCCTTGCAACCCTAGGTATTCAGTGATTCTGTCCTATCCAGACAAAGCAAGGCAGCTGTCCACTCACTGGTGGATTGCTGTAGTTACCTGGCCTGTACCTCGCTTTCTCCTGATGACTGAGATGGTCAGCTCAGGTCTTAATTACCTGTTCTCCCTCTACTTCCATTCCTTCCCCAACTTCTTTCCTGCAGTTCTGTGGGGCAAAAGCCTGCGATTCTCTGGTGGCACAATGATCTGCAGTAGCTTGCCAGATACATGGTTAGGCACCACTGGTATAACCAAATAGTATTTGAGGTATCAAGTCTTAGTGAAGAAATCCTAAGTAAAATCCTTCAGTGGGAATTTACTCAGTCTCTGCAGAGGTGCCTATGGCTGGGTACAAGTACCTGAGTTTACTCAATTCAAAACCATTCATCATTCCTTTGAAAAGAAGCAAAGTCTGTGTTTCTGGGTTCTTGGATTTGTTTGGTGGTTGATTTGTTTGATTCCTATCCTGTGGAATTATGTTGTGTGGAAAGGACCTTTGGAAGTCATCTGTGACAACCCCTTGCCCAGAGTTGGGCCAAGTGCAAAATAAGATGAGTCTGCTCACTGCAGGTTTGGAAACTAAAAAGAAGATTCAGTGTATTGTAATTTTCAGGAACTTAAGGAAGATATTATGCACTCCAATTTTGTTGCATTTAGATTTTGTCACATTACCTGAAATTTATAAGAGAAGTTAGTTTGAAATTGTGGCAAAGCAATTCAAGGTTTCTGTTTAAACTTCAGACATAGGATTCTAATGCTTCATGTACATTGTCAATTGTCTTTGCTTATTCTCCCTTTTTTGTCACTGTCAGCTCTGAATTCTTTTTCACTAATAGGACTCATCAAAGAAATGTAACTGTAATTGCCTTGTAGGAGTTGATAGGAATGTATAGGTTGATAGGAATGTATAGGTTAGGGAAAGGGATGCTATCTATGCTGGGATAACAAATATCTGAACATTGGAGCTGGCATGTGCCGACCAAGTGGAGAGATTAAAATACATGCACAGACTTGAAGATGTTTATGCATCTGATTTTCAGTGTGCATTCAGAGCAGAATGAGAAACAGCCTATTACACTGTATAAAACCAATTCAAAAGAGGCTGGAAGTCTGCATTCCACTCTTTGATTTTTTTGGGGCCATTCCTGGGCATATGGTTATATTCTGTCAATTATATGACAGGCTGATAAAAACAGTAAAAAAATGTGGAATATCCAGATGTTAGTTTATGAATGTGCTTGGTCTATCCAGTAGTTATGGTTTAAAAAATCAAGTTCTCTGAGCCTATCCAGTTTTTGGAGCAGTAAGAATGGAGAACAGAAAGGAAGCTAATGATAGTCCTTTTTTAATCTTGTTCAGTTCCATTCTGAGTAGAATTGATATATACATATTTAGTAAGAACTGAGTACCTGAGACGAATACCTGCTATGTATGCATGAACCTGTTCAGCTGTACATATATCATTAAGTCCAGGATGCAGCTGTCCTGTGTATATGAAATTTGATTCATGCATATGTAGGGAAAGGTATCCGAGTTTTTTCAAAAGTTATGTAAATTCACAGATCAGCCACAAAAGTATTTGTGGCATGATAGGTTCTGAAGTGTGATAGAAGTGGGCCTGCCAATAACCTTGTCATGAGCCTTTTAGAACTGCAGCTTTGAATGTGACTGTGTCTCCCCTATAAATATGATTGGAAAAGGCATATATTTTTCACAGAAAGAATGACTTATTCTGGTTAATTTATTAGAGAGATCACTCAGTGTTTAATGATTGAAATCCTTCCTGTATAAAATACACTTCAGCTTAACACAGATTTATGGTCTGTGATAAGTGGGGAAGAGTAGGTAGGTAGAGTGATTCCTTCTAATTTCATTGTATGAAATATTTCAGCTGATTGTATTACGAAACCAGACTAAAAATTGTTGGGGTGATGGAGGTTTTTAATACCCAAATGTAGGTTTAAAATTCAAATTACATAGAAGGAAAATCAGGAATGGCCCTCTTTCTCTACAGGAAATTTTAAAATATAATTCAAGTTACTCAGGATACCACCACATTAGTGATCAAACCAAACTGATCATAGCAATACTATTTTTATTTTGTGTTTTAGCAGGAATCCCTCAGGTGTATCTGTCTGCATGTGTTGTCCTGGTTTGCATACACCTGCTTCTGGTGTATGCAAACTGAATTCCTTTCAGTGATAACTAAACTGGGAGCTGACTCTTAAATTTAAATCTCCTGACCCCATGTGTGACCCACATCATCCTGTGGTTAGCCAAAGGTTGACTAATACATACACACACCATCAGAAGGCTCAGGAAACATCAAGAACTCTTGTAACCCTGTGACATAATTCACTTCCTATATAAAGATCCACATGCATATGTGCCCTTTTATTTGTCCTCAGCTTCCAATCTTATGCTACTAGACTGTGATCAGTCTGTTTGCTGACGCTCCTCCAGTGTTTCTGTGAAGTTCTTCCTCTGCTTTATCTGCCCTAGCTTTTATTGCAGTCCCTCTCAATAAGTCTTCTTTCCTTTGTTTTTTCCTTCATTTAAAAATTCTTCAAATATTCTCAGCGTTTTGATTCCTTTCTGCTATCAAGCAGGAAATTCATGAAAGGTGTAATAATGTCCTGGGGAAGTAGCTCTATTCTTCTGCATGTGCTTGTGAACAGTGTTAAATGGTGGCTGCCTTAGGACATTGAAAGCATCCCATGTGTTGATACATATAAGAGTGATAAATGCCAAAGAAGTTTAAAAAAGGAAACCAAAAATGCTTTTCTAAAGGCAAGAAGACACAAATCATAGTAAATCAAACAGCACGACATACTAGGTCTTTCATGAAAGGTTGTAAGAAATTTTTCTTTGGAAGCCCCACAGCAAACCTGCAGTTGATTGAGATTTTGTTCCTTTTTTTGTGGCTTGGTGACCCAGGAGCACTCTGAGAAGCCAGGTTTCCTTCAGAGTTGTTTGGGGTCCTCATGGGCCCCCACAAATCATCTGTGTGAGGGCATGGTCCAGGACTCCTGTATCTCCTGCTCCTTGCTGTTGCAAGAGCCCCTCTCTGTCACACCCTCCCAGCATTTCTGTCTGGCTCAGGTTAACAGACTGCTTTGCTGTATTTCTCTCCACTCTCAGGGTGGGGGAGGGAGAGGATGCGAGTGGTTCCAATGGAATAATAGCATCGATCTCTGAACTTCCAGAAAGCCATGTACATCACCAGGCTGACTGCAAGAACCGCTGTACCTTTTAAAGATTCTCCTGGGGTTGTGAGCTGTGGGAGAAAACTTCCAAATAGCAGCTGCCTACACCAGGAACTGCCCACCCATTCCCTGCCTTCTCTCCTGTCTTAGTCATAGCTAAGTTTGTTACTTGTGCTGTCAGAACAATGCAGTCCAGGGATTCAAAATAAGAACAATGCATGGCCCCCTGCCTTCCCTGAAAGCAACAGCTGAGAGGGACAAGATGTCGTAATAGTGCCATGAGCATTCAACTCATGGGTTCCCTTGCTACCCCACAACCACTTGCACATATGGCTTCCCACATCCCCATAATGACTTTAAGAGGAGATTTCCTATCTAGTCTGAATGCAAGGTGCTGAGGTAGCAACAGCTGTCCACAGACAAATTTCCCTACCTGTTCTCGCCAATGTTCCTGCAAAACTGTACCACTCTCACTCTGCCACAGCCAGTGTGCAGGGGTAGCAAATGCCCTTCGCACCAGAAACCTGATCTGCATGTGTAGGACACTGGAAGTATATTCTTGAATGATGAAGCTTCGCTGATGAGAATCCCCTGGGACAAGTAGTGTGACCCATGAGATGTTGATGATTGTGAGGCAGGAAGGGCTTGGTGACAATCCAGATTGTTAACTTTGGTATTGAAGAATGGGCATGCAAAGACCATGGTCTCTGGCCACCTGGTGCATACTGAAAAGTTATGATTGAACTGCGCAAGTGGGAGATGGCTTTGGAATTTTTTAATTGTCCCTTTGCTCACTGTGAACTTAACCATCCCAAACTAGTTAGCCACAGGTGGGAGCTGAGCGGAGGCTGGCGGTGGCCCCTTGCTGAGTGCAGTGTATTTACACTGGTGGTGTGAGAGGTTCCTGGAGGCAAGACGGGCTCTCCTAGCTGGCATTCCATATCTCCAGGTCCGTGTTGACAGTGGACAAAGCAGTTAACATCAGCAAGCTCCCTCAAGGATTCCCAAAGCTTCTCCCTGTACATGAACCAGGGGTTTGAGATTTAGATAAGCTGAAGCGTGGGACTAGGTGATGTTATTTGCTCTGCTCAGGACAGATTTAAGAAACAAACAAAAGTGATTCAGTTCCTGGTAACTCAATTTGCACAAGATATCAAAGGGATGTAATTAGCAGAGTTTCTATTTCTTGACCTCTTACTGAACAAGCTCGCTGGAGATTAATTTCCCCTGAGGATGGAAATAACTAGATAGAAAAATAGATTAACCTGGCATTGCTAAGGCAGTATGATACTGGATCAATGGCTAGCCTGAGCTGTACTGTAGAATTGCCTAGAGGAGGACAAAATCTGGCAATTAGTGGCAGATATTGACATCAATACCAACAATTCAACAATGAAATTAAGTAAGAGAAGGGAGAAGAGGAACAATAAGGGAGAATACAATTGCAGAGGAAGTATTTTCCGTTATTTTAAGCATTATTTCCAAAACTATTAATTTAAAATATTCTGTAACCCTCTGTCTCTTTCCAGTCAGTCTTTAGTTTTGGGAAGCACATTCAAAGCCTTTGCTCTGTGGAATTAGTCACTGTATTTAATCTCTCTCTATTGACTATCTGATTAACATTGCACACAAGTTTGAAAGTGGGAACAATGCAATAATCTACTGTGTCCGTGTGACAGAGTTTATTCCTCTTATGAAATATCCTCAAATGTTTTCTTTACTGAAGAGCTGTTCCTTGATTTGTGTTCTTTTTAAAGAAATGATGTGTGAAGTGATGCCAACGATAAATGAGGACACCCCGATGAGTCAACGGGGGTCCCAAAGCAGTGGCTCGGACTCGGATTCTCATTTTGAGCAGCTGATGGTGAACATGCTGGATGAAAGGGATCGTCTCCTTGATACCCTTCGGGAGACACAGGAAAGCTTGTCACTTGCACAGCAACGCCTACAGGATGTCATCTACGACAGAGATTCCCTCCAGCGACAGCTGAACTCAGCACTGCCTCAGGTATGTCCTTAATAAAGATTCTTTTTTTTGTTGTTGTTTAGGTTCACTAATTTTTTACTTAATACCACTTACTTTAACCCTAATCAGTATGTATTCCTTGAGGTCCAAATTTTGCTCCCATTGATGTCAGCTGCAGAACTCCTATTGAATTAATAGTACCTGATTTGACCTCTATGGGACCTCTTTTCATATTTAAGAGTAGGAGTAATGCTGTTGACTTGAAGGAGAGCAAGATGAGGGCCTGTAGCTACTGGTTCTTTTGGCTGTTGCTCTAGCATTTACAACAGGTGAGGGATCATTTAAACAAAAGATCTAATGGTAGAAATAAAACAAAAAAAATGAGGATGTTTTCTAGAGACTTTCCTGTATAAGGATTTCTAATAAACAACAAATAAAACTAACTTATGTAGGTTTAATAAGGTACTACACAAACCCACAAAAACATCTGATACCTTCATATTTTAATTAAATTAAAGTATTTATATAAATGTCATTATCTGAAGTTACCCTAGCCTTTTTTAGGAACTTCAAAATTAACTACTTCAGTTAAAATACTCATGTGATATTGTATTTCAACATTATATGTTAATATAATTGGTTTTTAATATACTAGAATTAAAAGCAAAGAAAGATCTTCGGTTTGCTTATCAGGCCAGAGGTTGGAAAGATACCATGATTCAAAATTCAGGTTTTCTCCATGTTTTTTTCTTTGTGTCTCTCAGCTGTCACTTATTAGGGAATGTGACTATGAGGGCCTAGGGAGGAATTAGGACAGCATGTGGATGGAATAAAGAGGTAATAAGGATGAATGAAATGAGTAAGAAGATTTTGAAGTGTAGAAGAGGAAAATGGCACTCTCTGGAATAGGGAACTGCAGTTTTTCAAGGGCTAACCTCATCAGGTAATTGAGATATCTGGGGATAGGACTAAATAAAAGAGAGAGAGAGACTGTGGAAGAACAGCATTAACAACTTGAGCATTAGCTCCAGACAGTAAGAATGACTGCAGCTGTTTTGGGACAGACAAAAAGGGGTAGCTATGATCTTGATATACTGTAAAATCAAGGTTGTTTTTTTTTTCTTTTTTCTCTTTATTTGTGGGCAGTTGAGCTTCTTTTGTAGAGGTGTCTCTCCATAGAAGAGTGGAAAAGAGTAAGTGAAAGACAGCATAAATCCTTTATTCAAAGATTTATTGCTGGAAATCCGAAGAAGAGATTCTTCTCCATCTGTGAAGTCCCTTGCAGTGTGCTGCTCGGTGTGCAGAGGCACTCTCCACTGAGCCATAGTGAGGTATTTTTATTGAGCACTAACAGGTGTCTAAGCCCTCATGTTTCTGTGTCTTGCATATGCAGAACTCCTGCTAAAATACTGGAGACTAGCTAAGGAAAATAATACTCAGCCTAAATGTCATGCAGAGCATTCTAAGGAAATGGATCACAATAGTATTTTATTCTTTATTTCTTCTGGTAAGAAATAAAGCATAAAATTATATTGTGTTACATAGTTTTGAATGATAGCTATACACCTCCTAAAAGCAATTGACTTATCAGGTGAATGCTTTGGTCTACCATGAACCATTAAGAATGTGTGTTTCAGGTAGCATTCATCCTTATATCTAAGAGAGATGTGGGCTTCCCATATGAGAAACTGTGTGACACACTGCTTATACTTTAAAGCAGAATCAGTTTTTTTGTCCATCAAATATGTTATCTAGATCTTCATATAAGAAATTCAATTCTGTTGAAATCTGTTCTTATAAGTACAGAACACTGGCTTAGTAATATAACATTCTAGTAATCGAGTCTTTCAAGAATATTATTTTCATCACTACCATACTATTTATTTTCAATTGTGAACTTGAGATATTTAAGAGTAATAGAATACTATTGAGATGTAGTACTTTTACAGTTTTTTGGTGTATGGTTTTATGAATGGCAAGCTTGCCTTGCTAACTGCCTGTTACAGCCTTCTGACAAAATATTACCTAGGACTTATTACCCGGTGGAGAGAAAACTACACTCAGTTTAGGAGGAGAATATATAGATATAAGATATTTTATAAGAAATATAAGATATTTTATAAGATATGATAATTATAATTTAGTTAAAATATGGCATCTAATGAGTCTTTCTTTATCAGAATATATTCTTTTAGTTCTTGATCACTTGAATGGTTTTCAAAATTCAATTATTTCTTAGTATTTACATAGTGCTTTGTGTGTAGAAACTGTGTATTTACACAGTTCTATTCCAAAGCCTTTTTTTTAGGACACTCTTTTTGCTTATTGTCTGTTTAACTGTTCACAGTGAAAAATAGGTTCTGGAGAAATCATTGCACTTGGAATAAATAGAACCTGAACAAAAAGAGCTTGAATGAAAACTCAGCTGTTGAAAAATCTTGTCTGATGGGAAATAGGAAATCATAAATAACATTAAATAGGAAGCTTGTGTTATTAGTTAATGCTGTTACAGCTGTTAATGCTGTAGCCAATGACTGTAAGTGTCTTTAAGTATTTATACTGGTCTGTACTGAAACAGAACAATGTATAATTAACAATGTCTTTCAAATCTGAGTTACACAAATATAGTTGTCATGCTAAGTACTGTCATTGAAATAAATTTTATTTCCATTAGATTGACACTCTTTATGAACATCTATGTAACTGAACAGCTATGTTTAAGGAAGAAGGGGAAAAGTGAGCAGAAAATTACAGCTAGTCTAAATAAAATAACAGGGAAGGCTTTAAAACTTGTTTTGGAGGAAAATCTAATAATATGTCAAAAAGCTAACTTAGAAATATGACATGGGTTTATCAAAATTTTCTTTATACAAAGTAACTCAACATGACTCTTTAGTACTATACTTTTTAAATTGGGGAACTACAGTATCCCTAAAATGATATCTTTTGAAGTCACCTCATTTAAATTACTAATAGATGGGAGGTGTGTAAGGAAAAGCAATATAGTAATTAGTAAGGTAAGTAATAAAAGAGAGAGAGGAAAAATTTTCACTTACTATAGACTGACAGGATGGAAGGAGTGTAGTAGTAGTAGTTAATGGATTTTGAGATTAATTTTTATTAATTTGAGCATAAGAAGAAGCATGCTAGTGGAAATTTCAGGTGACACAAAATTGAATAGTCAGCTAAGGGAGTATTATAATACACAAGAACAAGAGTAACAGAGGTAGGATGCTAGTGCATGGTACAAGGGTGAGAGCCTTATATCTAGCAGGTAATAAAAAAATTCATTTTAGGTAGCAGTAGTAAAGAGGGCTAATATATGGTTTATAAATAGTGGTAGGCAGATAGTGGGAGGTGGATGTAAAAAATGGAAAGTACAATTTTGAAATATGTTATGTAGAAGTCTTCTGTTGGAAGTAGGTAAATATTAAGGCAGTTGAACCAAGGGGTGGTTTGGACCTCATTTATCTGAGTTTTGGCTCAGTAGTGATTGAGAGTCAACCTCAAGTTGGAAGAGATTGAGAAAAACACTGCTAGAGGAAAGAGGAAGTAACATCTGCCTAAAAAGACTAATTGAAGTTTTCTTATTTCTGGGGGAAACTGTCTTGAGAAGCACTGTGAGTGATTTCATAGATTTTCTTGAACAGACAGGAAGATGGAATGAACAGGTGAAGATGAAAGAAATATTTTAAGCCAAAAACAATGTTGATGAAGGAATGAATGATTATAGGGTACCATGAATAAAGATGGATCATTCATCAAAAGGTCTTGAATTATGAAGGAATGGCATCTTTCTTAGACAGAGACACGGTGAAAACCCCAAACTTTTCAAGATGAAGCTGGTATAAAAGACATTATATATCATAATACCTTAGGTTAATCTGTGAACTTGACCCAGAGTACCCCTTCAGGTTCTGTATTTCAGACTTTAGTGTGGAGTTACTCAGAATCTAGCTCACAAGTAATATTGTTTATTCTTCCCAAAGCTGCCTGTTGACAGCGGAAGCCTCTAAGGAAAGTGTATTTGGGTCTGCAATGCATGTTCCCCAATGATAGGAATTTATTGCATTTAGGTCATGACTCTTGAGTCCAGAAAAAAAAAATTAATTCCTAAATACAATGAACTACACTGTAGTGAGAAAGCATAAGCACTAACTACTTAATAGTGTGTTTTTATTTTTTTTGAGTAAAATTAGGTCTTTTACTGTAACATAAGAAAGTGTTCTACTAAAAAGATTAGGAACTCTAACTGTTTTTGAGTGCTAGAAAGAGGAAAATGTTCAGGCACAACTTTCTCAAGCAAATTTAACCAAAATCTTCTCTAAGCTAAATTGTCTAGAAAATATCACCTTGATTAGTTACCATGTAAACAAACTGGAAAGATACAGTATATGTCCATTGTAAGACTTTGAATGACACAGAATCATAAGAGTATAAATGTACTCTGATAAACAATACTGAACGACTCTTGTTTTTGGTTGTTTTATTGTTCCTTTTAGCCTTTCAAGAATAAGTTTCAAGGTATGAAAGGTATTATTTATATGAAGATGTTAATAAGTTATCACTCTCTAGTTAAGTTTATTTTGTTCATTAATAATGTTCTTGCTCAGTGATTTACTTAGAAATTATTCACAGAATAGTTGAGGTTGGAAGGGATGTCAGGCAGTCACCTTGTCTAGCTTCTGCTGCAGCAGGGTTACTAAGAACAGGCTGCCCAGGACTGTGTCCAGATGGCTTTCCAGTATCTGTGAGGGTGGACTCTACAGCCTCTCTGGGCAACCTGTGCCAGTGCTCAGTCATCCTTACTGTAAAAAGTAAAAAACATTTCCTGATGTTCAGGAGGAGCCTTCTGTGTTTCCATTTTTCTGTTCATTGTATCTTCAATATAACATTACCAGAAAGTCCTGCTTTTACTGATCACCTGTGGTAGCAGATTTTATTTTTTAATGGCTATAAATCTTTTCACATATTGATCATCGGAATCTGCATCTATGACATATCTTTTTTAATACTATTGGCTGTCACCAGTCAACTCATTA